TGTAAAGTCGTTTTGCACACCTTTTCATCTCTTCATTGACATAATCAATTATCACAATCAAACAATCATGGCGGTGGTGAACGGTTTTTTGATCCATGTTTTGGTTCTTACGTTGATGGAGCTACATTTCTTCCTCCAAATGCTCTTCAAAACAGGTTTCTTCATTTAATTTTTCGTCTTCATCATTCTTTACAGTGTAAACGTCGCCTCGCTGACCCAGTCGGAGATCCGCGATATCATCCTGGGTATGGAGATCTCGGCTCCGTCACAGCAGCGACAGCAGATAGCAGAGATTGAGAAGGCGGCGAAGGACCAGGCGCAACTCACCGCCACCACTACGAAAACGGTGAACAAGCACGGGGAAGAGATCATCTCCACCACTACCTCCAATTACGAGAAGCAGCACTTCAGCAGCAAAACGGAGTGGCGAGTGCGCGCCATCTCTGCTACTAATCTCTATCTTCGCACCAACAACATCTACGTCAGCTCCGATGACATTAAAGAGAACGGGTATACCTACATCTTGCCCAAGAATGTCCTTAAGAAGTTCATCACCATTTCTGATCTACGAGCTCAGGTGTGCTTTCTTTTTTATTTCTAACTTCTCTGTTCGTTTTGGCTTGTTTGTCTCTTGATAATTGGTGTGCCAAGGTTGACTATTTCTGGCCTTGCTCATGAGGCCAAAGCGAGGGATCAACATGATCGAGTTTTCGGTTAAGCAAGTTTGACGTCGGTGCCCAAAGATGAGCAAAGTAAACATATTGAAGCCTTTTACCACAAAATGTTGGTTGATTTTGAGGGTTGTGATTCGGGACTGTCTGGTTTGCGCGAATTCTAGTTGGACTTGCAGGGTGTTTGGGGAAGGTGCAGTGGGAGAATGTACCATCCAGAAATGGTTAAAATAAATACTTATGATGAAGACTCACTTGAGGGTGGTGCATCGCGTTTGGGAACTCTCGATAAATGTGGAAGCCTTGATAGTGAAGAATAGCGTGTCTGTTGACACATTAAAGTAATTAAGGGTTATTTTAATGCGTTGAGAGCAGCTGTTGGTCGTATGTAGTGTGAATGATGAAACGATGTGTTTACATCCGCGCGAGAGTTACACATCCATATTCTACATCCACGCTTACGCTACGCACACATTCCTTAACGTTTTACCTTCCAAAAGCCAAAATGCCACCTTACAAATTGGCGGTTTTTGTAGTTTGAATTGCCAGTTGCTTTACTGACAAATCGTATCAATCACAATATTCTATCTTGGAGGCCTTTTTCTGCTTTAGATCTGTGGCTATCTCTATGGCATCTCACCACCAGACAATAATCAAATCAAGGAGATTCGTTGCATCGTGATGCCACCGCAGTGGGGCACTCACCAGACAGTTCACGTTCCTGAGGGCCTTCCCCAAGATGAGTACCTTCGCGAAATGGAACCTCTTGGATGGATCCACACTCAGCCCAACGAACTGCCTCAGCTATCACCTCAGGTAGTAGATTGGCAGACCTACCCCCACCTTTATGCTCTTTTTTCGACTGTTACTAGAACTCAACCAATGCATTAATGTCAGTAGTTTGCAAGCTTAAGCATGTATGTGGAGAAACTATCGTGGTTTCATAGAGCTGTTGTTAGTGCCGCCACATCTCGTTCGTTTCCTCACTATATGCCTGAGTTCTCACTACCTTACTTCCACACTCTGTTAATAGTATAGCTGGTTTCAAACTGTGGAATACGAATAGCATTTATGATTACTTGAGGCGAGTAGCCCGCGAATCGGCCTCCATTAGCAGTACTCGTTTTAAGAACCATACTGTTTTCAGTGGGGATTATTATGAAATTGTCATATATTTAAGGAACGTCTCCCCACCATGGTTTCATCATTCATGCTAACCCGCTTGGATTGTTTGGTCCTAGCGGCAATTCATGTGATCGTCAGCCTATTTCACCATGGGGATAGGGTTTTGTCGCCATGTTTAAAAAATTCATAAATAGCATTTTCCTTATGTAACTTTTTTTTTCTGTCCACAGGATGTGACAACACACGCAAAGTTATTCGCAGAGCACGATGGTGAGCGGACCATAGTGATCACCTGCAGTTTTACACCGGGCTCAGTGTCCCTTTGCGCCTACAAACTAACCCCGGGTGGGTACGAGTGGGGTCGCCAGAACACCGACAAGGGGAACAATCCCAAGGGCTATCTGCCCAGCCATTACGAACGCGTTCAGATGCTCCTCTCCGATCGCTTCCTCGGTTTCTTCATGGTGCCTGCGCAGGGCTCCTGGAACTACAATTTCATGGGTATACATCTTTCATATTCATCTTCCACTTTGGTTGAGGAGGCTGTTTTTAAATTCGTAATTTTACGGCGCGCTTTCATTGAACTTTCATAGGTTTAACCCTGTTTAAGCACTGGATGCCAATTTGGCTCCACCGTTTTTGCTGGCGCTGTCATCTGATGCTTTTGAACTTCGAGTTCTACTGCCGATCACACTAGGCTGTACCTGCATGGTATTGGGAAATTCCGTCCGGGTTTTCAGAGATGTGAACACGCCCTATGTTTGTGTTACATTTTGGTCATGATTTTACAGCGAATGTGCATAGACGGTTTTAGGTGTTCATTCAGCCTTGCAATGCGTTTTTATTATGAGTTTTTTCCAAACTCTCAATTATCTCTTTCGTGTGTTGTTTTTGGCTGTTGTGTGAACGTTTGGGAGATTTTTTACAAATGCTCTTATCCTTTAAAAATTATTAAATGATCACCAACTGAAATATGGTTTCGATTTTCTCCTTCGCAGGTGTGCGTCACAATCCGAATATGAAGTACGAACTCCAGCCGTTGAAGCCGAAGAAGTTTTACCACCGCATTCACCGACCCTCACACTTCCTCGACTTCACCAACGTAGAGGAGAGCGAGTCATTCGCCGCGGATCGTGAGAATCCTCTGGGTTAAACGTGGAAAGAAAGGTTTTGGGTGGAGAAGGGGCCCCCTACGTTTCACCCCGCTTTTTCCCCTCGCGATTGCGACACCATCACTGATGTTTTTTGTACACAGCCTCTTTAATGTCGTATCTCGTTTGTCTGTGTGTGAAATTTTTAGCATCCTCTTAATTGTCCCTTTTCAAATTACCAATTTGCTTTTTTATAACTGACGCTATGTATGGGTTGGAGCCTTTTTAGAGGACTCCAGAAAAGTCCAGCATATTTCCGAAAATGGGAGGGTAGCTCACCAAGTACTGGGGATTTGTGTCAGGGGGTTCTTCGGGTTACAATAGCTCGCAACCAGTGTGTACTCTCTGAAGGGTACGTGGGTGGCGCCATCACAGCTAGGAGGCGCTGTGCTTGTTTTCCCCTTAGTTTGATAGCATGCAATCCATTCAGGGGCTTGGTTGGTGTTCTTTTTGTGTGCAAATCCTACAGAGCTGCGAACTTGAGGTAGCGTTTATGGATGGTGGTGGTATGTGTCTGTCCCTCGGGTGATTCACACCCATTTCTACTGTTTAAATTGCAGGCTGTGGTTGTTGGTGGTTAAGCGGGCTCTAGCATCCTTTTTCAAAGCATTGAAGTACGTCAGAATAGGAAGTGAAGTTTCTCCGTCATTCGTTTTGGAATACAAGAGTATTGGACTCGGAAGCTGGAGAAGTAGGTTTTGGGTCTTCCTGGTGTGTAGGATTTGTGTGGTGGCTTGGTAGCGATACCAAGGACTGGGAGTATTAGAAGGGCCCTCTACAATGGCCAACTTGAATGGTTAAGCGCAAAGAATGGAGTCTACCTCATCGCTCTCAAAAATTGCTGTAGAATACGTAAGCAACGCCAGTAGTGGTAAGCACCCGGAATTTATGGAATATGTATGAATTGGAAGCCTTCAGCAAGTATTGACGCCCATCGCACTAGTCATCAGGTGCGTGCGTACACCTCGTGCTCAGCCAGTAACTCGACAGGGAAGAGCACGACAACGCCTCCGCGTTGGGATTTGCGCTCAAAGGGCGACAGTCAGTGCAGTCTTTTATGCATTCTGGAGCACTTGACCACGCGCAACGCACATTCACGTCAAGAACCAAATTTTTTTGGTAGCAACTTGATTTTGTTGCATATGCTCCATCCCAATGGTCCTCGTAGATCTATCGAACATTTGGAGGCAAAAGTAGGCACATGTGTAGTTTCAAACAAGTTGAGCGGAGCCTTCAACTGACGTAGACAGGAAACTGCGGCCCGTCAGACATTACAAGCTGGTAGCCATGCTCTTTAGCTTTGCCTACTCGCGGACGCGTGTTCTAGGACGTGCACGAACTTGATAGCCACCTGTGTAGTGGGGAGTGTCGGGGTCATACGGCGGCGGTGTTTTCCGTCCTGCGGGACAGACTGTAGCATCGTAATGAGCATTAAGGTACTCCAAGTATATCAGCCAACGAGGAGGAGAACATGACCGCCTAGGAAATCGAAAAAGGAAAGGCTACACGTGGTTGCAGACACCTTTTTCCATTTTCATTACGGCTGCATTTCTTTAAACAGTCGATGCTGTGCCGTGTGAAGGGTAAGTACGACAGATACGATTCATATTTTTGCCGAAATATTTGATTGTAAATTGGACGGGTAGTTAAAATCACGTCACCTCAATGCCTCGCAAAAGTTGCAAGCGCTCACCATTTACCTCAGCCATTTTGTTTGTTTTCGGTAATTATTGAGGTGAATTAAAAGAATCTAAAGCACTTGATGGTGCTGATCCATCTACCTCCCACTGACAAATGGTCCACTGTGCCAATCACTATACTTCCCAGTGCCCATCCCAAAAGTAGGTGGGAATTTGAAAGAGAGGGCAAGAAAAGGTCACTTCCTTCTCTTCTCCTTGATACCTTACCTTCACGCTAGAAGACGAGATGGAAGCATGATGAAATTGCGTCAATGTATGAACAATTTCCCAAGGATAATGCCTCCTCCTTCCACCTTATTTCCAATGTAACGCAGCGCCATTTTAATGCATTGCTCCAATTCAGTGAATTACAGTGCCATAAAGTGTTTAACTCCACACCTAACAGCATTTCAGCATCCTCTCTTCTTCTTCATCCTTTTTAAAGTCAAGCACAGTGTTCATGCGCTATCAATCTGTCAAAATGCTTAGGAATGCCAGCAAGCATCACTGAAGGAGATCAGACCGGGCACAAAACTTTTGCCTTTTACTCCAGAAATGCCAAGACCGTCAAGGTGCGTCAGCAGCCTTCAGTTCGGTCGATACACTGTTAGCATTTGGCTATGCGGACATAACTTGTGCTGATTGACTACTCACCCTTCTGCGCACTTGAATGAAAAATTCATCCACGCACCAGTGTCTCGCAATACCATCAGAGAACAGTTGTATGCTCTGAAGGGGTAAAATGACCGCGGTTGCTAATGGCGATAACACTACATGCTTATTTAGAGTCAAACGCTACCACATATAAGGTGTCTAGTAGGTGCTAACATTCAAGCCATTCTCTGCAACGAAATAAGCACAGCTGGCGCACTTGGCAGGTTTGACGTCCATGTGTGTGTATGTATAATAAGCAGGTGACAGGAGGTTAACTGCGAAAAAACGCAGTGACAGTGGAACCATCAAGTTAAATTCTATTCGCCTAGAAAGGTATCCCATTCGCCCCAGCTAACAAAAGTCCCGATTGCTTCTTTAGGAAAACTAAACCGTGAGGAGATTTATGGTTTTTGGTTCAGGGAAGGTACCACTTCATCTTCATCTCTCGTTTCCCTTCAAGTTATCCAACTGGCTATAACCTCTTCTTGGTATCGTTGTCATGCCATAACTTGCGAGGGAAAATAGATAGTTGGGGACTAGAATTGGCCCGAACCGAGTTTTCTTTTTGCTGCCGAAAAGTCAGAGGAAGGAGGAATGCTGTTGGTTGTGGAATCAAACACTTCATGGCACTGCAATTCACTGGATTGAGGCAACGCTTTACGTTGGAAATAAGGTGGAAGGAGGAGGCAATATCCTGCATTATCCTTGGACAATTGTTCATACATTGACGCAATTTCATCATGCTTCCATCTCGTCTTCTAGCGTGAAGGTAAGGTATCAAGGAGAAGAGAAGGAAGTGACCTTTTCTTGCCCTCTCTTTCAAATTCCCACCTACTTTTGGGATGGGCACTGGGAAGTATAGTGATTGGCACAGTGGACCATTTGTCAGTGGGAGGTAGATGGATCAGCACCATCAAGTGCTTTAGATTCTTTTAATTCACCTCAATGAATCTGGAATTGGAATAAGATTGCCGTCGGCTTTACGCAATCACACCAAACTGGGTGTCAAAATACTCAACTGCATTCGCCATATGAAAACGTCTTCTGAGTCAAAACGACTGCCACGTCGTTAAGGTGGGCTCCAACCTTCCTCTCTCCCTTGATTTGCCAATGCTCCCAAAATTCAAATCATTCTCTACATCTAAACTGAAGCATTACTTTTGGAGTTCGAACACGACATTGCAGAGTACTGCTGTACCTTCAATTTTTCGGTAAGTCTGCGATCAAAGGTTAGTGGTCTAGGGTCGCTTTCACTCAGGCCAACGGATGCGTAAAGTCTAAATCGGGGATTTGGAGAGATGCAGACTCGACTAAAAAGATCATGGACCACTAAAGTCATGTCGAGAAATTCTTCCCAATGTCTTGGTGAAATATGAGTAGGGGATAGTACATCTACGTGGTCTGACTACAGCCGACTGACCAACCAACAGTCCAACCTCCTTACTTATTGCCAAGGTGATAGTAAACAGGTAAGTCGAACAGTAATGGAAGCTAAGATTAATTTGTAGGGTTTAAATAACTACACGGGTGCGTTACTAGAAGGAGGAGGTAAAGACCAAATCGTGTTAAATGAGGCAAGTAGAAGGGATGGCCTAATGCTGTCACTGTTCTCCCACAAACGATCTGTGGTTTTCGATGATTACCGAAAACAAACAAAACGGCTGAGTTAAAAGGTGAGTGCATATTATTTGTAACAGTTGCTTGGTATTCAGGCTACGCAGCTCTAATTACTTGTCCATTCAACCGGAATGAAAGGAACGCATCATCGGTGTTGAGAAAATCAACTACTTGTCTTCAAGGGTAAAAAGCTCCCCTATTTTACGGGCATAGGTATACGCTTTTCTTAGTTTTCACACTTTTGGTCGCCATTCACACTTCACGGTACTTTGTATCATTTCTGTTACCAGCCCACCAACCCCACCATAGTACTACGAATGCAGGGGAGACTCGAGTGGTAAAAGACATACATAATCGAAACTTTGTTCTGCTCAAATTTTATTCAGCTTCAAGTCATTCTGGACCACCATTTATTGGTATTATATTTGGCATTTAATTTATCCGGTTTAGCATGCTCACTAATAACTCTTAGACCGGTTTTTCCTAAAGATTAATCTCACATGATTGGTGTGTATCTTGCGGTAACTCCATCACTACGGGCCTCGTAGCACACCAAAATCTTTCTCACTCATTCATTAGGCTCAGGGCCCCATACCATTGGTTATAAGTGGTGGCTGAGCATTCCGGAACCAGACCGCAGTGGTTGTGCTTAACAGTCCAAATGGGTCAATACCCAGGACTCGCAAGGTACCCTCCCACCCTCTAGTAGTTCCATCAAGCTGCCAGCCAGTTACAAGTTCAAGCAGTTTATACTTTTCTCATATCAACACCAAAGTATGTATTCATAAAAAGATTACTTCCTCCATACCAATAAGATTCACAACCTACGTCAAACGAGGGCTCGTCTGGTTATCTACTTGTCTGGTTTTGAGTTAACTCTCCGAATGCAATCAGGACTCATCGAATAAAGTTGCGCAAGTTCGTCGTTTTAAATTATTGAAGGAAACTGCAGTCAATTCTTCTAATTTTATTACAAAAATTCACACATAGGAAGAGGAGGAATGAGTGGGAAATTAATAGACAGATAGTACACGAGCATGTGATAAAAATGCCGAGGTCAAAGCATACTGCTTCACGGTGTCCGCTTGTCTACATTTCTTAGCAAAAGGCTCAAGGGCAGAATGAATAACGATAAATAAAGAAGAGATGAGGAAAAAGGAGACTAAGTGATTTTTTCAAAGAGTAGCGGGCTATCACTTTCCACCGCCCATGTACTCATTCAACTCCTTGTCTAGATTAGCACGCATCTGCTGCGGGTTCGTAGCCGCACCCCGATTGAAACGACGCGTTCCTCGACGCTTAGCAAGAGCGCGCGGTGCCCCACGCCCACGGGTAAGAACTGAACGCCCACGGATGCCACCACCACCACCGCCACGGAAATTTCCTCCACGACCAGAGGTAAGAGGAACAGTACGATGAATTGGTGTAAAAACTGGTGCCGTTTGAGATGAAAGCCCACTGAGAGAAGCGTGAAAAAGGTACACATAAGGACCAAAACATGTACGAAGTTCCTTAAAGAACAATTAGGAGGTGAATCTAGATAGTTGAAATACGTGATTCAACAGCACATAAGGAGTGACAAAGAGTAAAACAACGAAAACCTCAACTAGAAGGAGCAAAAACATGTAACAGATTTAACCGCCGTAACGGACGAAACAACATACTCTCGTCTGTCAACTTTTCGTGGCCTCCCCCGACCCCTAGAAGAATTGTTGAACTGTTGGCCTAATCTAAGAGCGATTGGAGTTCTCTGGGCATTGGAACGCTATAAAAAATTGGGCATCAAAAGGAAATGCAAACTCACTCGAATTCCAAGTGGGTTTGCCGCCGTCCTTCGAGAAGCAGAGCTTTCTAGCCTGCGAAATCTGAAAACAAATGCATTAATGTAGCGGAGTACCTTTCATTTAAAGTAATAGATGACGAGCCGTATAGCTTGATCGGGAGGATTATTCGCTGTCGCATTTTAACACACCAATTTAAGGCTTTACCGTCTGTGGACACTTATGATCTCAAATCAAAAATTTTGCATTAAAAGTTTTATTTTATTTTTATATTTTAAAACTATTACTTTTTGTGGGCAATTTTGTTTATACTTTGTGGCTTTTAAACAAGGCGGATACTTTGACCTATGCGAGCTAGTGTGCTAGTCGCCTGGGCCGTGAGGCGCTAATTTCTGGGCGAATGCGATTGTAAATAGGTCTGAAGCGTTGTTTGTGGAATTTCCATTTTACAAGTTTATCGTAAATACTGTACATACTTTTAATAGAAGTAATTATGAGTAATGAGAACGTGTTGTTGACACAAGGAGGTTATATTTTTCCTGGGAACATTGGATCCTATCAACCATCTCCTCCATTGGCATCCTATAATGTTTTCCCACCTCAACATATTTTGTCGCCGCCTCCATTCGTACCCGTACCCGCTGCCGACTTCTACGGGAGGTACTCTCGTCTGCCGCCTCTAAACTCGCCATCCAGCGATACATTCGGTACTTCGGAAAGGGATTTCCGTATTATATCCTGGGACGAGTTGAAGTCTCTGTTGACTGAGGAGTCGCCTGATGTAAGGGCGGAGTCAGGTCTCCTCTCAGATGGTCGTGCTTTCGCACAGCGATCACCTAGAAGAGATGCTTACTTTCTCTTCCCTTCTAAGTCGGCCTATATCTTATATTTTACGTAAGTACAGGTTGTCTGATTTCTTATTTATTATTCGCTAGGCATTATTATTTTTCAAGAGAAAACTTGGACCGTGATCAAACGATACGTGGGATGATGCTAGATAACTGCGCGATTGCAATCGATAAAATAATCGAAGCTCCGCGTCTAGCTTCCATTGGTACCACGATTGATGATATGAAGGTGGCTGTTGAAAATGGGAGCAGCACCCTCTGTGTTTTGAATGCTCCTGATGGTCGTTGTTATCTGCGGCGTATAGATGGGTGTAAGTCTTCCTTCGGGTTCTAAATTCATTCTTTTATCGCCCATTCCCTTAACATGTGTGCATATTCATGCCTTCAGATCCCGGCAGCACACAGACTGCTCATATTGCTTCCACTTTGCCAGCTGAAGCGGGAACGCGTGCCTCCTTTGATGGTTGCCTAAGTCGTAGCGGGATGACTGAACGTCCTGTACCATCCACATCAGCCGATCTGGAGTTTGTTTCAAATCTTTCCGCAATGCTGGCTCCTTCAATTTATGGGGTCCAGGGTCCGAGCCCGTTGGATGCAACCCTTATATATCCAACACAGAACGCATTCGTTCGCCCCGGAACTAGACCACCTTCCGCAGCTGCTCCCGTTGCCGCCGCATCAGCCATAAGCACTCTCAACGCAGCTATGGCTGGGATGAACCTGAGTCAGCCTGCACCTCCTCCACCACATCATCATCCGGCTCAGGTTGCTCCGCATCTACTTTCTCAACTCGCCGCCATGCCACAGCACTTAGCGGCCACTCTCGCGGCTATCAACCAGAGAAACCCGGTGCCTGCTTTTCCAGTTCCCTTTGGTCAGAATCCCTTCTCAGCCGGTCAAGGCAGGTCCACTGCTCCAACTCCTCACGCTCACCAGTCGCAAATTTTTCACCATCAGCAGCAACATCGTCGGGCAACGCCTCCTCCATCGGCGTCCGTGCCACCACCACCGCCTCAAAATACATCAGCGACAAGTGTGGCGGCTAATGTCTTGAATCTCCAGCTTCCGGGTGCTCCTTACAATTTCCAAAGCATTCATGAAGCTGCCTCGTCCACCCACTTTGTGCATGGTTACCCCACACACGCCTATGATTCGTGGATTCCAGAGGTGACAAACGCGACTTTAGTCAACACCGGTATACATCTACAGTACTCTCCGCACATTGTTGCTTGGCCTCCACAGAACCAGCCGACGCAAATTAGGTCAACTTCTTCTTCCTCTGTTTCTTCTCAGCACCCGCCAATCTCTATACAGCAGCAACAACCAATGCATATACTCTCCCTTCCCACCAATCTCTCATCAGTTAACCCAGTGAACAGCTCAAATGCATCTGTCGGTTTAGTGGCTCCTGCGACCGCATCGGCATCGGTGGTTGAGACAACGGGGACAAAAACAGCCACACCGCCTGCGCCGGAAAGCGTAGGCAATGATGAAAATGTTGCCGCCACTTCCACCGCGACTAATAAAAATACAAGCTTGGGGTCAGCTCAACCCTCTTCCAGTAGGGATGACTCTACAAACGCGGTTGTGAAAGAAACCGGGAGTGCAGAGACAGTCAACAGAAAACCAGCACAACTGGCTCAACAAGTGCACTCACGACCTAACAGCAGTGGTAGTGGCAAGATAAAATTCAAGTCTAGTAAAGGTGGCCATCATCAGAGGGTACCGCATTCAAACAGGAGTCCACCCATTGCTTCTGTTACTGGCGCTGGCGCATCTGCTGCCGCGGCTGCAACATCTTCGAAGAATGCGACCGCATCAGTAGGCAATATGGAACCCTCGGCGGGGTAGATGACTTGGATAACATCGTCTCATCTTTCCTCTTTTTCTCGGTCCTGTCATGATGGATGTCTTGCTTCCCCTCTTTCTTTTCAACATAGGTGTACTTTGCTCCTGGTTCATCTTTGATCTCGATCATTTATACGTCCTTCCATTCTTCGTCATCCCCTCCCCGGCCATCCATGTGTCTGAAAAGCCAAAAAAGATGCCCCTAAGATTAATGGAAAAGGAAGATTAACTATGAAATTACCAAAAAGTAGAATTCTCTTTTTTGTATGAAAAGACAAAAATCTCGTGTGGTTTGTCTCCCTGCCCCTCGGTTCCCCGCGTTTCCTTCTCGGGCAAAACTCTCTGGATTTGGGTGTCCTTTTTGATTTATTGGTTAGTCTTCTCTCACTCGGCCATCATCTTTCATTGAACAGTTTCCCTAGACCACTTCCCTCATTTGTTCTCTGCCATCTTCCTCCATTTCTTCGTCCTTTCTGACCCTTCAATATACCCTAACCCTGAAGAAAAACTTGTTATAATTCTTTGGTTTGGGAGGCTGTTTTCACGGGCATCCTTGACTTCACAATGTGGGAAGGCTTCTCAAAATGATGGCATCGCAGGGTAAATACTGCATAAGATTAAGCTCAGATGTCTGTGCACTTGATTTTCTGGGTGTGGCTTCCACTTCCGGAATCTGCGGGTAGATTTAGCTGCCCGGGAGAAGAAACTTGATGTACTCCCTTCCCCACAATCAGGACGCTCAATTCAATTCGGGACTCTGAAGGGGAAGAACGCCTCAAGAAGCGAGAGCTGCTTTGCTGCTTTTCACACACAACCTCTCGCTAACACCTGGAATACCTCGACACGGGAAGGTTTGCCTACGCGCTTAAGACATCTCGGGTCGTCATTAATGACAACTGCCTCTTTCCCCTGCTTTGATGTGTACTTTAGTGGAATGATATACCCGGGATTCTTTATAATACAATGGTATTACTCAGGAGACTTCCTCTTCTCCGCAAAGAAGTACTTCTTTGGGGATCCATACAGGTGGAAATAACCTTGAGCAAGAGAGAAGATGGCAAACTTCCCAGCTGAGACGGTTTATTGTGCACGCCGTGCGACAAGCTCTGTAAGCACGTCTTATACTTGAGGCGTGGACACGGACGCCCTGGATTCTAAGCCCTGATACGTGAGCACATCACACAGAATGCGACGTTAATACTTGCACTTAGCAGTGACATGAAGTAAGTGCCATCACTTGACACGCAGACGTAATTCTTTGCAGCTTTTTGACAACCACGCGTCTGTATGCTTCCGCTTGTTCTACTGCATGCAGTCCCGTCGTGGTAGCATTTTCTGCGCTGTGACGCGACTGCTCTTTGCGTGCTAAAGAAAACCAACACAACACTTGATTGAAAAGAGACCTTTAGTCCTGTTTGTGAGGATATATTTGGTTTTTCGGTTGCCTAAAATGGACTACTTTTTCCACAATCTCCTTGTTTCAATCCGGATTTTTACTCATCCATTTGGTGGCTCAACTTTTCAACTTTAATCCAAAGGCTTCCTACACCTTCGCTCATCAAGACGGAACTTCTCATATCGTCAGTGAATGCACTGTGTTGTATATGGGTTGAGAATATCCCAACCAATTAAACAGTTCGTTGAAGCTGCAAGCTATCCATACCACGTTGCTATGAAGGATTTGTACTGTAAGAATCCGAAAGTAAATTGGAGGTGGCATTCCTTGAAATCTGCTTCTAGGAGGATCGCATGCTTCGTAAAGACTCAATCCTTATCTCTAACTCCAATAAATATCCAGTACTACTTTGTATTGGTATTATATCTCACTTATACGATTCAAGAATAACATCCTTATGAAGGATTGGGTCTTCCCAACTGTTTTCAACACACAAATCACGATTTAAGTGGATAATACTCGCACGCGGTGTCGAAGTGTGAAGACATGAATTACATCAAGCATTTCGACTTCCCCAGAATATTTCAAAAACAATCTCGGTTTCTGACACCATTGGAATCAAAGCAATCAATCAATCACAGCGGTCTTCAAGTCGGGATCCTGATAGATTTTACACATGAGTCGGGGAGATTAGAAACGACGATAAGCTGTTGAGGCACTTTACTTCTTTAAGACTGTGCATACCTGCACCACCAGAATGGGGGCCATATTGTGCGGCTTGGGAGAGGAATCTCGGCAGACTAGAAAAGTCCATTTAACACTTTCAGTCGGCACACTCTTGATACTTTCTGACAGGTATTATCAAACCCCTTGATTTTGGACATAGAAGATAGCCAAATTAAATATATGGGTCAACGTCAGGTGGGTGAACACTCGAATAAAAGTTACCATAGTTACCATCTAGTTCAAAATTACCTTTCTTGATGGAAGTACAGATTGCAGGTGCACTGATGCGTTCTAAGTTGACGTAGGGAGAGAGAGAGAGAAAAAGAACTGATTATAAAGAACCAACCTGCTTTTAAACTTCCAAACATCGCATTAACACATCGAACATCTGACAATCTGCACCCGGTATAGAGAATTCTCACGAACCGAAACCGGTATCGCAGGTATTGCTAATAATGGAGCCTCCTGCCCTACAGTGGTTGGATAAAAGATTAAGGTGAAATAAAAATTTAGATTGAGAAGTAGTTTGAATTCTTTCTACCGGCTCTGTTCCATTTGCAGCCTTTGATCACTTAACCATCAGCGTGGCTTTTGGAGCACGCCCTTTCCTACAACTTTGAGGCAGTCAGTTACAAAGACTTGACAGGGTGAAGATGTTGAGACTCACAACGGAAGGGTCAGTGATACTAGTCGCCTGTTTAGGAATTATTGCTTCTATAAATTCGACAAGCTGACCAGTGAAAGGGGACATCTGAACCGAATTGGCTGGAGGTGTTTATTAGAAATGAATTCCTTAGAAGTAAAGTTTCGGAGGTGGGAACAACTCCCGTAAAAAGCTGGACATTGTTGACCTGACAGCAAATGGACGAAACGCCGAGAAGCTACTCTATCAAATGTGTATCAGCCAATTCGCCTAGGAAAAGCGACCGGCAATTGCTGTTGAGCCTCGTCCAGGCTTTAGCAAACCCACCGCTTACAAATCGCTGATGGAGGATGCGGGTGGGGAGGCATTTGCGGACCCTATAGCATGCACCAATGTGTTGAGTCTCGAGAAGTCTCCTGCTGCAAATGTTCTTCTTACCACCAAAAGAAAAAAAAGACAATACAACATGTGCAAACATCCAATTCCTGAGGAAAACACTGAATCTGACGAAAGTGTCGACTCTCTCAAACTGTGCCGCAGTTACGAATTGTGCTGCATCAATGCAGATTGGAAGGTAGTTATTTTCCAATCCCCATCTTTCCACTTTTTTAGCTTGTAAATTGTCTTTAGTGGTGTCCTTTGTAGCTCCTCTTAATTTTCTTCAAAATTTTGAGGAAAAGGAGTGGATCTTAAAAGCCCCAATGGATGGGAAAGGATGATGGATACTTCCATTGTTACTCCCATGGGTTGTATTCTGGCTCCTAGTCTTGTTTCTCTGCCGGAGGTAGTTATCACCATTACGAGGGCAAGACACGTGTCAGAAGCGCCTACCTCGGCTCTCGCAGTAATTCTACATAGTCCGACCCTACTAAATTTGGGGATGCCAGAACTGGAGAAATGTGCGAATCCATCTCTATTGCATTTAGATTTCTTGCAGTCATGGCAGCCAAAAATTAGTTCCAGAGTCACTTTCTCGTTCTACTCGGTCGTAACTGGATATCTTCAAAAAAAACCATGATTTTTGGCTTTTTACCATGGGGAATTTGATTTTCCTACTGAGGGTCAATCCTGAAGGAGACGAGTTCGTAATTCTGGTACACGTCTGCCATAATTATTCAGCATGGAGCAGAACAATCTTCCGTCTTGGTGCAGCTTTTGTTGAAGAATTTGGGTCAATTTAATCTCCAAGTGGCACTTATTTTTCAAAATGAAAAGGAGACAGCAACAGTCACCTCCTTAAAACAGAACTATTTCAATGAACCTTCAGACTCAACGGATCACTTGGCCTTTTGCCTTCACAGCCTTCATCGGCCAGACTTTCTGGAAGTCTCTCTTGTCACATCCTCAAAAACCAACTTCAGGCGGCTTCACGCATTCCACTTTCACAGTTTGCAACAATGCGGTCAACAAGTTGATATTTTGTTCAAAAAAGAATGACTATGTGGATTTTTATGTTTAAAACAAACAGCAATTTGCTAATAATATTTCAAAAGACCTTCAGACATCGGAGGTCCTAAACTTGTGAGCCACTTACCTCTGCGTGTCCACGCCAAACCCAAGAAATTAATCTGAAGTAATTACTAAAAAGTGTGGCATATAAAGCCATTATCACATCCGAAGAAAAGCAGAAAGTAGCGGTAGTGAATCAGCTAGAATGACAGTCGTCAACCGCATCATAGTTATTTCGGATCCACTAGAGGTACAATTAGAGCAATTAATCACTTCAAAAAGTGAGGCTAAATAATTCACTCCTTTTAGGAAGCACCGGATTGCATTATTTTTATTTTTAAAAGTACTTCACAAGGTCACTCGGTTAGAACCGGATGTTTTACTGTTCTGATTTGACAACATCACCTATCCTGCCGAACTAAACTATTTAATTGTCAGAAAGATGTTTTTCCCCCAGACTAACACAATTTTCGGTCCGTTTTGTCATTCCTAATTTGACTAATTTATTAGCAACACAATTTAGTGCAACGAGTTTGCGTAAACTAATAAAGCATACTTGTCACATATGTGTGACGGTGGGGGTTGGACGTGTTTTAAACTGGTCTCCATGACTAGCTTGCCGATTTAGAGTAAAGAGAATGACTACAATTTTCACAGCTACATTATTGTCAAATAAAAAAGCATTCTACTATACCCTAAGTGTTTGGGGATGGGTGTGTTTGTGTGTCCAGAGCACAAATTCATCCCCAAGTTGTAGCCATGTTAACTCGTGTGATTGTTTTCAAGGGAGTGAAAAAAATCCACAAGCATTCAGATATCCAGCAGAGGAATGAAGTGTAAAATTAGCCAAATTTTCTGTAATTTGAATAGTTAGAACTTTTTTCAGAATATTTCATCAATATACGCAAGTATGTAAGGAAAAGCCTAAAACTTGGAAAGACATTAGCCAGGCAAACTCACGTTCCAAGTAGGCTTAAGCAAGAAAACATTTATTTGTTCTAACTCAGTAAATAGGGAAAGACATTGTTTTCTCTTTTTTCCTGTTAGCGCCCCTGAAAAAGGAGAACTTCCTTGTAATTCTGTTCAATTTAGCAAACACCCCTTAGATCCCAATCACCAAGATCCTTTTTCTGCCTCTTTGAAGTCGAATCACTCAGATGAAGCTAGTCAGAAATACAATGGCAGTCCTCCGGTTCCCTCATATGTTTAGTGCCCATTAATCACATGAAAATTGTTCTCTATCCACTATTTAAAATAGAACGGAAAAGAGTGGTTTCCCTTGTTTCTGTACTTAATTTTTTTTCAGGAGAGAAACCAAAGGTGGAACTAAAAATTGTGAGCTTTCTTGCACCGTAATCATGAGGCTATGCCAGAGCCATCTCCATGCAAAGGTCCAATGCCAACGAAACACCATCCCCAGAGGCAGTGGTGCAAGATCAAACAAAAGGTGAGCTACGTTGTTTACCATTTCATGATCACTTAAAATTGAACACAAGGTGCAAAAATCCTTGTCTTTGCGACCAGCGTCACATATATGCGACACAATGGTATTCTCCCCTCAAATCCCATGTGTTGAATGTGCAATAAAGTTTTGTGTCAACTTGTTGCGCC